GGGGAGCGAGACACGGTGGGTGACACTGACTTGCGTGGAATGCCTTTGTTAATGGCAAGCAACGCCGTTTCTTTAGTACCACGGCCATTGGTGGGGAATTTGTGGCGCTGCTCGGATGGGAGCAGTGAACTCCAGGTGGTAAAGAGTGCAGGGTTGCCTGAACTTTCTCTCGCGCAAGCAAAGGAGGATCTGATGCGTATTTACTTTGCGTTCGATGGCGCCAGAGCCTCCCGCATGGCGGTGCCTGCAGCGGCGGCCAGTACAGTATTGTCTGCGCTGCAGCGGCGTGATGCCGCTTATGAGTCCCTTGTGCCGGTGCAGGACGATTGGGAGGAGGCTGTGCGCCGTGGTATTCCGCTGGCGGTGATCCTTCGTTTTACCCTCTGGGCGTATGAAAAGCAGCAGGAGCAGCAGCAGCAGCAACGTGAACGATGTTATTCTCCATCTTCCCCAGAGTCTACATTTGGTTTATCGTCGATGCTTGATATGAAGTGTGATGCGCGTGCTGATGCTCGGGGACAATCATTGCCGTCACCGACCACTGCGCCTGCTGCCGCAGAATCCGAGCAGCGTGTGAAGTCTGTCAGAAGTAAGGAGGAGCCGGGGCACGAAGAAAGAGAGGAGGGACTACAGTTGATGCTACCCGAGAGTGATATCATGGGTGCCTGCCTGGATCGCGGGGACTGGCTGGAGGTACTCGCCGTGTTTGCCCCGCCGAGCCTTACCGCGGCGCTGCTTCGGAGGGCAGTGATGAGCAATGAGGCGCGAAGTGGGTGCTGCGGTGGCGGCGGTGACATGACGTTCCTGGCGTGGCGGCACCGAGCTGCCCCTGCTGCAGAGCATGACGAGTACGGAGATGCGACGGCCGCAGTCGATGTGCTGGGGACAAACAGCGCACGGCACGGTGCCGCCCACCCACGCTCGGCGTTTCGTCCACCGACAAGCGCGACGCAGCTATTCTTGTTTCACGGGGAACTGCACTCGCTTCACCACGCGGAGGGAATGGCGTGGCGTGTCGGCGACAAGGCGGGGCCGGCGTGCGTCTGCGGCAGCGACGCGTGTGGCGGCTCAAATGAGAACAACAGCAGTTACGTCTCGGCTTCGGCTGGGGGTGTGGGTGATGTGCTGTCGAGCCAGGGCAATGGTGAGAATACCGACGTCAGCAGCTGTGGCGGCGATTGGAACTGGATAGAGGAACAACAACAACAACAACGACAGGTCTGCGTGGAAGTGGGTACCGACAGCAGCATGGATGCCATCGTGAACTACGCGGAAGCCTTGCTGCTGCCGGCTTTGAATACACGTGCTGCTTGCTCGAGTGAACCCGTACCGCGCCAAATTAGCGACGCGAAGGGGGATAAGGGACATGAAGAGACGAAAAGGAAAACAACCCAAGTCTCACGTAACGATGCGTCGTCAACCATCTCTGCTACAGAGGTAGCAATTCCGGAATCGCTGATGTGTGTGTGTGACGGCGCTTTCTGCTTGCCCAAGTGCCTCCCCTCCGACACGCTTCGGTACTGGGGATTCGTCTCCGTTGTAGGTGATCAACAGCCTTCTGATGGTAGCAGTGGCTGCAGCAAAACCAACAATATAGAAGGCGGCAATGATATATATTGCTACACAGATGGTGCGAATGATGATGCTGATGTCTACGCCGCTGTGAATCGTCATTTGCCTTTGTCGGTATTCACAGAACGGCTTTGCTCTAGCGTGCTTTCTCACCACCATAACGGCTCTGCTGGTGTGGCTGTGCCTAGCTGGTGGCCCCTAGAGATGGTCCCCGACGGCCACAGCAATTATGTTGTGAGTGACGAGGATGATGATGATGATGACGGCGGCGTCGAGGAGTACGGAGAGGAGGCGCGGCGCTTCGGTCTGTGCGCAAGAGCGTTACGGGGCATCACAGGGCCTGTACTGCAACTCCCCCAGTGGGAGAAGCATTAATGAACAATTCTCCCTCCCCCGCTTCTTTCGCAGTGTCTTCTTTGCTGTTGCTGTTGCTGTTGCTTACGCTGGTGATGATGGCGATGACACATGCCTTAGAAAATGCTGTTTCTTTTGTTGGCTTTCCACCGGTGCTTCCTGGCAAGTGGTGTGTCAAAATATGAAGCAGCGGCTGGAGGCGACAGGGAGCGTGGTGGCCTAAGGCCATGCACACCGTGATGACGATTCGAATGCGTAACGCTGCGTCTTGAGGGCACGATGGCCCCTTTTCTCTTTTCTTTGTTAGTCACGAGCACACATGCTTTCTTCCGTGAGTGATGGGATGTGTGCAGTCTGGTGTGGTGTATTACGAACTTTTTTATTTTTATTTTTNATATATATATATTTATTGATGTGTGTAGGCGGTCCTTTGTGTTTGCAGTTGGGAGTCGCTGCGTGTGCGTTCACGCGGCGGAGCCTCCACCATCTCTTCTCTCTTGCTGCGGCGGGGCAGTTGCCCCCCCTCCCCCCTTACATGGTAAGCCGCATAGTTGTATGTATGTATATATATATGTATATATATATAACCGTTCATGCCGCGTTGTTGCATGATCTCATACATCTCTCTCTTCCCCACCCCCCTCCCTTGTGAACTGATGTACTAATCTCTGCTGCCTGGGAGGGGGGGAGCTCACCACTCTCACATATACCGAAACACGCAAGCCCGGCCTCACCGCCAGAGGCAAAACAACGATAAGAGACAGACAGTAGCAGAACAAGCTAAGACAAACTCCATCGCCGAGATGCTGCGCGCTGCCCCACTGCTGCGCTGCGCCGGCGGGNCGTGGGCGCTTCAACCTCGACGAAGCGGCTGCGGCGCTGGACCTAGACGCCGCGTACGTGGCCGCGTTGTACCGCCCGCTGCACTACACCTTCGCGGTGCGTGGACAGCACTATCCAGCCGAGCAGGGCCGTGTTAGTCGCCCCGGCTCGCTTAGCGCCTCGCGCAGCCGCATGTTTCCGCTGTACCGCCGCAACGCGCGCCTCGATGCAACGCTTATGCGGCTCGACAGGCGCCGTATCACCACAGAGTAAGAGTGACGTCTATAAACGTCTTGCTGCCCTCACACATTTACTGAGAGATTGAGGGAGTGGGGAAGACGTGTGGGGGCGCGCGAAGGGTAGGATGTGGAGCGGGGCGATTGAAAGGGGATGACTTTAGTGGAGTGGGCAAGAACAACAGCGGACGGGGGACGCAGGGCTCTGCCTTGCCGATGTGGTGGTGTCCGCGACACTTCCTATCTCTCTCTCTTTCTCTCTGGGTCTGTGTTGCTGCTGCTGCAGAAGCGGCTGTCGACACACTGGACACGGATGATGGTGATCATTACAATGACTGATCGTGATGATGATTGCATCCTCTTGGGTCCCTGTGTTGGGATTTCTTCGGTAGTCTGCGTTTCACCCGCCTCTTGCCCGTTTTTGTTTTGTTTGCTTTGGTTCTCCCCATTCACGTTGAACCCACGAAACCGAAATCACAATCAAAAGGGTGATAGATACAAGCACCAAAAACAAGCAAGAAATCCTCTAGGCGCACGCCTGAGGGGGTAGGTATTAACAAGGGGAGCGTCTTAATACGCCGGTGTATATATATATATATATATATATAAAAATATATTCACCGTGCGTTAGAGTGGGGTGCTTTATTTGTGTGGAAGGGAACAGGTCTGAAGCACCCTTGTGCTTTTCTTTTTTTTTTTCGTTTTACACCGTGGCGATGGATGAGCAGGAGCAAATTCACGACGTAGTGCGCAAGGCCACGGTTATTGGCAAACGTAAAACTGAGGAGCCACGGAAACAACATCAACAACAACATCAGAATCGCCATCAACGACAGCAGCAGCAGCAGCATGAGCAACGATATGATGATACGGCAGCTGCTGATTTGTCGCAGTTCTCATTGGGAGACGCCGGAGGTGAGGAGAGTCCACCGCTGATTTCTCCGGGAGCCTCCTTTCGCTCCTCCTCCCCATCGCTCTTCACTGAAGGCATGGAGCTTCCGATAGTGCTGGCGTCCCACTCGACCACCGCAAGGCAGCAAAAGCAAGAAGCTCTGGACCAGCAGCAAAACGGGCACGGGGGTGGGGCCTTCCCGATGGATGCTCTCCGCTCTGCCTGCGAACGCATGGGCAAAATCCTTGACCGCCAGGAGGAGTCCTTTCGCGAGGTCGACGAGTATGTTCGGCACAACTCCGTGCTCTCCCTTGACAAGGAACAACCGCGGTGGCCACAGAACCACCACCCCCACCACCACCAGCAGCAGCAGCAGCCGGGGGAGGAGAAGGGCGGCCGTGCTATTGTGTGGGAACTTTCGCGGCCATGCAGCCACAAGCGGTCACAGATATTGGCGGATGATCGCTCCATGACGGTGTCGCCGACGTCCTTCACGCCGCGCGCCCACTCGGTCACGCTGTGCCGCCCCACCTCCATTCCGCCCGTCTCGTTCCACGAGATGACGCCGGAGGAGGAGGCGGAGGTGCTGGAGCAGCTCGAACAGCAGCACGCGGAGGTGGAGGAGGTGGGCTCGCCGATGATCGTGGGCGACATCCCCATGCAGCAGCCGGTGAGCGGCAACGCGGCGCAAGATGCGTCGCCCGTGTCGTGCGTCTCCATCTCCTCCGTCGCGTCGCCGATGGGGGCGACCACGGCCATGCCGCTCGCCGCCGCGTCGATACCGTGGGCAGACAGCGTCACGGTGTCGCCACTCTCGCGGCCGCTCTCCGCGTGGTTCGAGAGCCCGCATTCGATGTACCTCACGCGCCGCGACACGCATGGCGTGTCGACGACGGGGGTGTTGACGCCGACACCGTTGCAGCTCCCGCCGGGGAACGGGGTTCAGTTTCAGCTGCGCAACTCCTCCTCGTCTTCGCCGCCAAGCCGTCTCGGCCTAGACTTGTCGTCGTCGGCGTTTACGTGTAGCTTTTCTGGGGTGTTTGACGCGAGCGCTGGTCGGACACCGAAGTACTCGCATCCCCATACACCCATGCAACAGCACCACATACAGCAGCGGCAGCCTTTCTCCGTCTCGAGGCCGTTAGGCAGTTCCAGCGAAGCGATACCGACGTACTCCGTCAGCGCAGATTCGGCTATTCACAGCGGGAACGATCTGGAGAGCGGCGAGGAGAGCGTCACCGTCGCGTCACCATCACTGGCGGACGCTGCCACTGCCCCAGCAGCAACAACAACAACAACAACAGCAGAGCCAGTCACTACTTCATCGCCAGGCGTGGCTGCACCGCTGCCCGCTGCTCGTGTGCCGCCTGTTCACATTATGGGGCGGCCGCCGCCGGTGCCGCAGAGAGTTCCGTCGCCCCCCACCTCCCCGCTGCTGGGCTCCCGCTCCCCATTGGACACGTCCTTCCACTCAGTGGATGACGAGTATGAGCCCTTCTTCAACGACGACGACGACGACAACAACAAGGAAGAGGGAACATATGGTGATGGCAACGTCGTAGCGTTGCACCATCACTGCAGACAGCGCCTCTTCAGCCCGTCGCTGTCGCGCTGGCGCAGCTCACGACGGAACGGCACACGTGACACGACGAAGCGACGTAAGCATGCGGGGGACACCACGTGGGACATGTCGTCACGGCTGCAGGAGCTGGAGCAGATCCGATTAACCAACCACGAGGCGCTAGAGGGGCGCGAGCTGCAAAGTATTGCCGCTTCGGAGGTGGATGTGACGCCAGAGACACCGCCGATACGGGGCGGGCGGCGGCACCGGCACCGCAGCATATCGCAGAACGAGCTGCAGGAGATGGATGTAGCGCGGGTGTTCATTCTGTCGGACAGTAAGGATGACGACAAGGTGGACAACCACCACGGAGCTCTTCCGCACCAGCAACACCAGCATGAGGAGGAGCATGAGGATGCGGAGGAGGAGGAAGAAGAAAAGGAGCAACCAAAACCGGGAGAGGTGACCACTATGCCGCCTTCATCACTGCTGCAGAAAGAAACACATAGTAAGAGACGCTGCACTGTCCCCCCGCTGAATGTGCTTCAGATATCGCTAGCTATGAGAAGCCCAGGTGGTGCTGCCTCGGCTGGCGTCTGTGAAAGCAATGACGAGAAGGAGGAAACAGTGAGCCGCCTCACTGGTCTAACCTGCGAGCGGTACGCACCCGACTCTTCACCAGCGAAGTCTGCGGCGGACAGCGACGCCGTGTCGGTGCCTGCCGACGAGGGTGCGGAGGAGAACACCCACGGGGGGAGCCCGACCAGCAGCCATCTTTCCACGAGCGAGCGGCGGTGTTTACGCCTGAGAACACCAACGGCAACGCCACGTGTGCTGCTGAAGCGCACGCCACGCTCAACAGCGCTGCCGCGCCAGCGGGCGTTGTTGGCGCCGTGGGTGCACAACCTCCCACTACGCCGCCGCAACGAAGCGATGATGAGACTTGCCGCGTGTGGCAGTTCGCGCGGTAGGGGAGAGGGGCTTATGGGTGCGTCGCCGCCGCCGCCGGCACCGGGGTATCCTGAGGCCGATGGCCGTGACTACACGTACCGGTCACGACGGCGGCGACGGATTGTGGTACCGAAGCCCCCAAGTGGAAGTAGGAGCAACAGCGTTGTGCTGCGCCGCAGCAATAGCATAAATAACGGGGTTACACCCGTGCCGTCACCCATGAAGATGACTGCCGCCGCCGCCGTGAGCAGCAGTGCCTGCACAGGAGCAGCAGCAGCAGCAGGAGGAGGAGGAGGCAGGGGATGGCCGCACGACGGATCAACGGCAATGTGCCGTGAAGGCAAAGCAGGCGATGAGCCCGTGCATCCGCCGTCTCCGTCTGCTCAGCACATTACAACTACCGGTACTTCGTCGTCGCCAGCAGCAACACTAGTAACAGCATCTCTGTGTGTGTCGGTTGAGCGGCATCGCTCACGCAGCCGGAGTCTTCGCGCGCCTGGCTGCCCATCGTCCGGTCATACACAACCCAAGCAAGGCAGCGTGCGACCGGCTGCTGGGAAGACGCAGCCAACACCAGGCGGCCGTCGCAAAGCGCCGAAAAACAGCATACTGAGTGGCGGCAGCACGTTCTTCTCGCAGCCACGCGCAACGCGCCATCCAGCCAGCAACACCACGGCGTTCGGCACCCAGCTCTTGATGCACTCGTCCTCCTCACCATCGTATTTATTGGAGATGCATGCACGCGGCGGTGCTGTTGCTGCTGGCTGTAGCGGCGGTAGTGTTATTGGCTCTCTGGACGTAAGCGACGACCGCGACGAGGCGCTGTGTGTGGCACACGACGCCGCCAAGTTGCACACCCACCGGCTATTCTCCGACGCTTCGCACAGTACCTGCAGCTCGACGCCCCCACCGCCACCGCCACCGCCGCCGCCACGCCGTTTGACTGCTGGGTTTCTCGACTGGTCACCGACGGTGTCGCCGTCACGCGCAAAGACGCAGAGCAGGCAAAGACCGGACTTTTTCTTCCCCACGGTGGCGGCACGCCCTGTGGAATCCGCGTTGGCCCCCTCTCGCTACGCCGTTTTTGGCGACTCGGCCTTGGTGAGCGATGTCAGTGCTGCAGGCGAGGGGCGGCGCGGTGCAGAGTTGTACGGCAAGCCCGCACTATATAAAGGAATACCGGCCACGAAGAAGAAAAGAGCACATCGTAATAGTGGTGGTGGTACTGCTGCTGCTGCTGCCGCTGCTTCCCCAGCTACGGGGACTACACGAGGCGGCTCGTCTCCCTGGAGGAAGTCAAAGCCCTCATCGGTGTCCCCTGTGGCTGCAACACGGTCATACATTGTTCATGGTGCAGGACGGGCGAGACCTCCCGCGGCTTCTACGCCTTCAGTGTCACCAACGTTGCCGAAAAAGGCCCAACACGTCGCATGGAGTGGCACTGCCGAAAACGCCGTCTTTCTGCACGAATGGAGGCGGCGGCATTGCTCATTTACGCGGTGTGGCACCGAGCTGTGCATATCACCGCAACGCTTTTCACGCCTGTCAACCGCACCGTCGTGAGCAGAAGAGGCTCTCACGCTCTCTTTCTCTCTCTCCCCCCCTCCCCCCTTCTGAGCCTGTATGTGCCTGCGGAAGGCGAGTAAGCAGCAGCAGCGGTGGCGGTGGGGGGCGGCTAGACAATTCATTGGGGTGTGACGCACACATTCACTCAGCGGCATATGCTCCTGTACATACGGAATACATATATATATATATATATAT